CTGAAGGTGAATGAGGGATGCTCAGCCTCCCTCTTGTGCTCCTATATTTATGAAGCCTAGTTCCAAACACTCTGCTCCACTGTCCCAATATTCCAACCTCCTCCCAGCATTCCAGTGCCAGAGTAGTGGTTAGTAGCATGAGAGCCAGTGTGGAGTAGTGGCTAGTGTGTGGGACTAGGACCCACAAGCACCCCATCTGCCCCACAGCCACTGCAGAAGCAACTCAGGTGAGGTAAGCTCTGACAACAGCAGAGCAGCTCAGCTTTGCCATCAGGTGGGAAAGGAGCTCGGAAAGGGCTTCATCTTAAGAAGTTCTTTCGGAAGCCCGCCTCCTTTCAAGTCGGCCAGCGAGGCTTAACAAGGGCCCCCCTCCCAGCATGAGGGTGGCAGGGGCATTTCACCTTAGGCACTGAAACATCTTGGGCCACCCTTGAGAGTGGCATTGCTGGAGTCTCAAGTTGGTCTGGAACAGGCCAGGAGATAAGCAGGTGTCCTAAGTCTGGCTGTTCTTTAGAAAGAGACCAGGCTAAAATGCCTACAAGTCATCCCAACTTTCTGTTACTCTGCCTTCCCTCATGGGCTAGGCCAGCCCATACCACACACAGCTGGTGTGAGCCTGGCAGAGGATCTCAGATCCTGATTTCTTCATTTGCTTGAAACATTCACTGCTTGATCTGAAGACCTACGTCCTAACCCTAGAAGTGAGCTGCAGTTACTCAAGGATGGAGATGTATTCTGCATCTGCTCAGGGGCACTGGTGCAACTGTTACTCTGGTACTGGGTAACTTAAAATACTTAAAGGAACACGTGAGGATTCATATTCTGTAGTCTGCCTCAGAAATTTCTTCAGCATTGAGGAAAGCTGGGCCCCAAACACTTCACCTTGAATGTTTTTTTAAAAATTAAAAAAAAATTATTGGACCACATGCTGAGTGTCTTAGCTGTTCATTCCCTGGCAAAGAAAAAATTCCCCTGCTTTCAATCAAAAGTTTTGCTTGAGTGACAACTAAGCTCTTCAGGATTTGAACTTAATTAAAGGTGTCCCCAGGATAGATGGATATATTCCCAGTGTTTCTGGTTTTCAGATGCGGAGAGCTTTCCTAATCTAAAGAAGGAGAAGGAAGTAAAGAAAAAAAGGGTGAAGTATAACTTATGGAAAATATTAAAGTGCAACTGAGCATGATTTCATTTTGCTTAATTTCATTTTTGAAAATGTAATTCTTTTGTTCATCCTCTGCAAAAGAACGAACATCCGGCAGGACAATTCAAGCTGATAAACTCTAGAAAGTCTAAATAAGAATAATCAAGAAGTCATAGAATCATAGAATCATAGAATCATAGAATTATAGAGTTGGAAGAGACCACAAGGGCCATCGAGTCCAACCCCCTGCCAAGCAGGAAACACCATCAGAGCACTCCTGACATAGTCTTCAAGCCTCTGCTTAAAGACCTCCAAAGAAGGAGACTCCACCACACTCCTTGGCAGCAAATTCCACTGTCGAACAGCTCTTACTGTCAGGAAGTTCTTCCTAATGTTTAGGTGGAATCTTCTTTCTTGTAGTTTGGATCCATTGCTCCGTGTCCGCTTCTCTGGAGCAGCAGAAAACAACCTTTCTCCCTCCTCTATGTGACATCCTTTTATATATTTGAACATGGCTATCATATCACCCCTTAACCTCCTCTTCTCCAGGCTAAACATGCCCAGCTCCCTTAGCCGTTCCTCATAAGGCATCGTTTCCAGGCCTTTGACCATTTTGGTTGCCCTCCTCTGGACACGTTCCAGTTTGTCAATGTCCTTCTTGAACTGTGGTGCCCAGAACTGGACACAGTACTCCAGGTGAGGTCTGACCAGAGCAGAATACAGTGGCACTATTACTTCCTTGATCTAGATGCTATACTCCTATTGATGCAGCCCAGAATTGCATTGGCTTTTTAGCTGCCGCGTCACACTGTTGGCTCATGTCAAGTTTGTGGTCAACCAAGACTCCTAGATCCTTTTCACATGTACTGCTCTCAAGCCAGGTGTCCCCATCTTGTATTTGTGCCTCTCATTTTTTTGCCCAAGTGCAATACTTTACATTTCTCCTGTTAAAATTCATCTTGTTTGTTTTGGCCCAGTTCTCTAATCTGTCAAGGTCGTTTTGAAGTGTGATCCTGTCCTCTGGGGTGTTAGCCACCCCTCCCAATTTGGTGTCATCTGCAAATTTGATCAGGATGCCCTTGAGTCCATCATCCAAGTCGTTGATAAAGATGTTGAATAAGACCGGGCCCAAGACAGAACCCTGTGGCACCCACTAGTCACTCTTCTCCAGGATGAAGAGGAACCATTGATGAGCACCCTTTGGGTTCGGTCAGTCAGCCAGTTACAAATCCACTGAGTGGTAGCATAGTCAAGACCACATTTTACCAGCTTCTTTACAAGAATATCATGAGGCACCTTGTCAAATGCCTTGCTGAAATCAAGGTAGGCTACATCCACTGCGTTCCCTTCATCTACCAGGCTTGTAATTCTGTCAAAAACGAGATCAGGTTAGTCTGACATGACTTATTTTTCAGAAATCCATGCTGACTATTGGTGATCACAGCATTCCTTTCTAGGTGCTCACAGACTGTTTGCTTAATGATCTGCTCCAGAATCTTCCCTGGTATTGATGTCAGACTGACTGGGCGGTAATTATTTGGGTCCTCTCTTTTCCCTTTTTGAAAATAGGGACAACATTTGCCCTCCTCCAGTCTGCCGGGACTTCGCCTGTTCTCCAGGAATTCTCAAAGATGACTGCCAGTGGTTCTGAGATCACATCTGCCAGTTCTTTTAATACTCTTGGATGCAGTTCATCTGGCCCTGGAGACTTGAATACATCTAAACTAGCCAAGTATTCTTGTACTATCTCCTTAGTTATTCTGGGCTGTGTTTCCTTTGCTGAATCATTTGCTTCAAATTCTTCAGGTCGGGCATTGTTTTCTTTATCGGAGAAGACTGAGGCAAAGAAGGCATTGAGGAGTTCAGCCCTTTCTGTGTCCCCTTTTTGCATTTCACCATCTTCTCCTCTGAGTGACCCCACTGTTTCTTTGTTCTTCCTTTTGCTACGGACATACCCATAAAAGCCTTTTTGTTGCTTTTAACCTCTCTAGCAAGCCTGAGTTCATTCTGTGCTTTAGCTTTTCTGACTTTGTGTCTACACGTGCTGGCTATTTGTTTGAATTCCTCTTTGGTGGTTTCCCCCCTTTTCCATTTTTTGTACACATCCTTTTTTAATCTTAACTCAGTTAAAAGTTCTTTAGATAGCCACCCTGGCTTCTTTAGGCACCTTCCATGTTTCTGTCTCATTGGTATTGTCAGAACACCTTCGCTATGGAGGAAAACATAGAAGTATAATGCAGGGCCTCATTCCCTTCTGGGCAACTTTCTGAGGGCCACATACCAGTGGTGGGTGGGGCGAGAACCAAAAGTGGGTGGACCAATAAAGCACTCCCACTATTGCAATTTGGCTAACTGGTTTTTATGGTCTGTAAAACTGCTCAGCAGCCAATTTTGGTGGTAAAGGTGTATAAATCAAATAATATATGCATTCATATATTCTGGAAGCCTCAGGAGGGTAGACTGCTCTGGCGCTTGGGTAATGCTTGCAAGTTTCCTACAGGCCTCTGGTTGGCCACTGTGAGAACAATGTGCCATTGGCCTGATCCAGCAGGGCTGTTTTGATGTTCTTATAAGTGTGAGGACTAGCAGAGCATCTCAGACAAGAGGAGGGTATGACACGGCAATCTCACTGCCTCTGCCCTGATGAGCACGCACAGTATCACGCAAGCAGGCATCCTGCGTTCCCCTTTTTGTGCATGCCTTCCCTATATTAAGACTTATGACCGCAGCTTCATATTTTATAAGCAATTTAGTCAGAAAGCAATAGGGAATCTTCGGCCTGTAATGTATATAGTGATTTAAAAATTACTGAAGTGAATCACAACTTTGGAAGAGCTGTGGCCGTCCGATTCTGAAGTAGCTACTGAAAGATTTAAACACTCTTAAAAAATGTAAAGCCTTCCAATAATTTCCTATCATTCTGAAGCTTCACTTCAGAGGCCATGAACTGTCACTGTCACGCTGTAGCGCTTTATGGCAAGGAGAAACACTCACACACCCCAAAGTGATGATGGATGAGGTTCAGGTGGTGATGGGGGCATATTCAGGTTGCATTTTAAAGAGGGCTTGCCTAATTTGCCCTTCCCCAAATAATATATGAACCCAAACACAGCTATCCTTCAAATTTCACACTCTTCCTCATTTCGCAATGTCCAACAAGAATTTTATTTTTTCGTATAAATGCTTATATAGCAGGGGGAACAAGCATAAATTGCATATATTGGTGAAAATTTCATGCAAAATGCAGTACATTAATATCTATATTTTGATCATTTTATTGCCTGTTGTTTTAAAGCCTGTTTTATCATTTTTAAGGGATATTTAATGCTGTTATGTAAACCGTTTAGAGATCATTATTCTTTTGATGGAGCGGTGTATAAATCTTGCTAAATAAATTGGGGGTTATTGGTTGCAAAAATGTGTATTTTAGGCAAAATAGCTTACAAATGCATATATTAAGAGAAAGATGCACTAAAACCCCAATTAATTTTTCAGATGACTTTTTTTTTAAGGCAAACTGATGTACAAACAAATGTAGCAAACTGAACTTAATGCTTGGGGTGGAAAATGGGAAAGTAAAACCAAAACTAGCATAGAAACATAAGATGCAACTTTATACTAAGTCAGACCATGGGTCCATCTAGAGTTGACATTGTTTACACCAGGCATATGCAAACTCAGCCCTGCAGATGTTTTGGGACTACAATTCCCATCATCCCTGACCACTGGTCCTGTTAGCTAGGGATGATGGGAGCTGTAGTCCCAAAACATCTGCAGGGCTGAGTTTGCCTATGCCTGGTTTACACTAACTGGCAACAGCTCTCCAAGGTTTCAGGCAGGGTTCTTTCCAGGTCCTACCTTGAGATGCTAGAGACTGAACCTGGGTCCTTCTGCATGCAGGACAGATGCTCTACCACTTAGCCATGACCCTTCCCCAGATTTGTTCATCTCTAAATACCAGTTGTTGGAAACTGCAGCAGGAGAGGCTGCTGTTTTGCTCTGGTCCTGCTTGTGGGTCTATACTATCTTAGTGTACTATCTAAAACTTTGTGTACTTAGTGCATACTTAGTATATACTTAGTGTGGTTTTCTCAGAGGAATCTGGTCATGGACCGAACCTGAGAAAACACTTCTTTGGAACTTGCTCCCACTGAAGGCAATGATGGCCAACGAGCTAGATGGCTGTATAAGAGAATTAGACAAATTCTTGGAAGATAAGGCTATCGGCTACTAGCCACAATTTCTATGTTCTATCTCAGCTGGTGGAGGCAGCATGCTTCTGAATACCAGGTGCTGGAAACCACAGAGGAGGAGCGCTGTTGCACTCAGGTCCTGCTTGTGGGTTTCCCATGGGCATCTTGCTTGGCCACTGTGAGGACAGGATGCTGAGCTAGATGGATCTTTGGCTTGAACCAGCAGGCTCTTCTTTTTGAGATGTGAAGTAGGTTAATTTGCTTCAAAATGCGGACCAAACTATTCTCCTCTATTCCTCCAGTAGGGTCAGCTACCCATTTGAATAGCGGACGGATTCCTTGTTGGTGCCTTTTAAGATATGCTTCCTCATCTTTGCAAATAATTGAATTCTTCCTGGCGTCATGTTTGCAAATCATCAATATCCCAGTTCAGCTGGAGATCATGCCCAGAATGTTATAAACACCTACATGTAAAATCAGAGGGAAATGATCACGGTGCCATGCATCATGAGCTGTCTTCCTTAACCCTCTGGTGATGATCAAACATGATGAAAACTGGAGACTTGTGAAGTATTGATTACTTTTAGTGCTTACTGTACATTTAAATAATAGATCATGTACTCAGGCCTCAGAGCAAAGGGCAGAAGCACTTGATACTTTATCATTGCTGCAGTTATAGATTTTTGCCTCTGTCGTATTGGCCTGGCGTAGTGTTACTGTAGGTGAAGACTGTAGTTTTGATTTATAGCAGCCAGCGGGCACTTTATTTTATCGTTTACTCCTGATGACTGTTTATATGTAGAGGGAAAGCACTGCAGGAGATACTTGGTGAAATGTTCACTAATAGCTTTTCCATTAAGCATTGTCTTGTTTTAATTATGTGGATGGGTGGGTGGCTCAGACACCATGTATGTGTTGAAGAGCCTACCTTTTTATAGCCATGCGCCTATAACTGCTTGAATGGTCGATATTTTGAAGGACGTACATTAAAGGGACCTCTCTGCTTGTTTATTTCTTTGTTAAAATTTTTATTTTTATTAAAGATTTTCTTGGTTTACAAAAGTATGTGTATTGCCTCTTTTCTCAGGTTGTAAAGTCTTTACTGTATACCAATTGCATGTGATGTGAGGCATTAGCGGTGTATATAGAATAAGGTTGGGGAAGAAGAAAAGAGGGGAGGAGAGGGGGGAAGAAGTGGTAAACTTAGGTAAAGGTAAAGGGACCCTTGACCATTAGGTCCGGTCGTGGCCAACTCCGGGGTTGCGGCGCTTTATTGGCTGAGGGAGCCAGCGTACAGCTTCCGGGTCATGTGGCCAGCATGACTAAGCCACTTCTGGTGAACCAGAGCAGCGCACAGAAACGGCGTTTACCTTCCCACTGGAGCGGTACCTATTTATCTACTTGCACTTTGACGTGCTTTCGAACTGCTAGGTTGGCAGGAGCAGGGGCCAAGCAATGGGAGCTCACCCCGTTGCGGGGATTCGAACCGCTGACCTTCTGATCAACAAGTCCTAAGCTCTGTGGTTTAACCCACAGTGCCGCCTGCGTCCCTCGTGGTAAACTTATATTCTTATAATTAGTGTGTATGTGGGGGGGGGGGGTTATGTCAGCATCATTTGGATAGGTTCTTTGTTTGTTTGTTTCTTCGTTTGTTTGTTTGTTATATCTCCTTGGTAATGAGAGAGGTTGGGTGTGGGGTCCAGGGTGTGGTTGATTGTTTGCATGTGTGTGTGGGGGGGTGTTGTTGGGTCAAGTTAGCCAGACTGATTCGTATGCTGTCAGTGGGTTCTTGTTGTTGTCTTGTTGGGCTGCGTATGTGATAAAGGGGAGCCATACTGGGGTGAAGGCAGCCTCTTCTTTTTGTCCCCATGTCAGTTTCAGTCTGTTAGTTAGCTTTTCTAGTAAGGCTGTTTCCCAAACGATTTGGCACCAGTGGTCCATGTTCACGCCTGACGGGTCTCTCCAGTGTCTGGCTATGAGGCTTCTGGCTACTGAGAGTTGGTGGGTTATAAGCTCTTGAGTGGTCACTATAATCTTGGATGATGTTCACATGGGGCTTCCCCTTTCGCCTCATCCATTTATTTAAATCAGTGGTTCCCAAACTTTTTCAGGCCACCACTCCTTTGGTTCCATAAACTCATCCTCGTAAGTTGATGTGGAAATGTGGAGAATGAAATTGAAGTCTGGGAAAAGGGGAAACAGATTCACCCATCGTTTGTTCCTTGTCTGTATTGCAAAGGAGTGTGGGTAAAAGGGCTTGGAAAGGCCTGTTCCCAAGACCTTGCAGAGCCTCTATGCCAATCAGATTACAGTGGTACCTTAGGTTAAGAACTTAATTCGTTCTGGAGGTCTGTTCTTAACCTGAAAATGTTCTTAATCTGAGGTACCAATTTAGCTAATGGGGCCTCCCGCTGCCGCCGTGTCCCTGCCATGTGATTTCTGTTCTCATCCTGAAGCAAAGTTCTTAACCTGAAGTACTATTTCTGGGTTAGTGGAGTCTGTAACCTGAAGCATCTGTAACCCAAGGTACCACTGTAATGGTATGCATGAACCAAAAGCCTGATAAAACAGCTTCATATAAAATAGCCCTAATGGGAGAGCTGCCTTTTCCCCAACTTAACACACCAAACAGTTAAACTGTGGAACTCTCTCCCACAGGAAACTATGATGGCCACTAACTTAGATGGCTTTAAAAGAGGATTAGACAGATTCATGGTGGAGAAGGCTATCGTTTGTGATTGCTCTGCTTCCATGGTTGGAGGCAGTAATGCTTCTGAACTACAAGAGGGGAAAGTGCTCTTGTGCTTGGACTCTGTTTGCTGGTTTCTAGAAGGGCTTCTGGTCAGCTGCTGTGAGAACAGGGTGCAGGCCTAGATGGGCAATAGGCCTGATCCAGCAGGGCTCTTCTTATGCTCTTTATCTTTTTACATTACTGGCCCATTTCTTTGTCTCACGACATTTTTCTAAATGATGATAATCTATATCCTCCCCCATCTGCAAATGCATTTTCTAGCCTAACTCGGTGCTGCCAGTTTGAAATATGAGTAGCAAAGCGGCTGCCGCCTGGCCTGACTCTGAAGAATAAGCCTTCCTGCATGCTCACTGCCCAGATATTTCATGATCTCATAGGAGCATCTGCCCATGTGTAATGTCACGCCATAAAGAACTTTTAAAGAAAGGTTACATTTGTTCTGGCAAAGCAGGGCTGGGGTGGGCGGAGAGGGTGGAAATCAAATGAATGCAGTGGAGAGGTGGGGGAAGAGGGAGGCAAACGCTATTCAAGTTCTACCACCACACTTTCGTTTGGGCATTAAGGGAACTGCTAGTGTAAAATCTGTATTAATGCTCAGCTAGAACCAATTGATTTAAAGCTTCCTTTTCCCTTCCTAGACAACCTAATTTATATTTTAATTCGCAGGAGGTAATTGATTATCACAGAGTAAATACGCTGTAATGAAAACTCTATTAAATCAGTGCCTTAATGGGAGAGTAATTTTTTTTCCACCTCTTCTCTCTCTCTCTCTCTCTCTCTGTGTGTGTGTGTGTGCAAAGGGGGTGGGGAAAAGTTTTATATCCCTAAGCATTTTTAAAGTCACGCATCATGGTCTAAATATTTTATGATCTGGTATTAAAACACTGTTTGGGGTCCACGTCTCTCTAGGCTCCAACCCACCACATTATAGTATAGAAAGCAATTTGACCAAAGTAATGAGCTCAGAGGTTGCTACACAAAAACCATTACAGAATTGAAAGTGCTGCAGGCAAGCCTCTGACCAGACTTAAAGGATGGTGATCAGGTGCCCAGGAGACTTCTGGTTATCCTGTTCTGTCTTGTAGCAGGAAAATAGCACACAGGGTCTTCTAACGAGTGACCTACTGACGTCCAAGTAATATGTGATAAAAAGCATCAATGATCATTCTTGCAATATCATCTTGCAGACCCTCCAAGTGCCCCTATTTTCCTGGGACATCCCTGATTTAGAGAAGCCATCCCAGTTTCTGATTTAATCCTGGAATGTTCCACTTCTCTGTAGGATGTCCCTATTTTCACTGGAGAAATGTTGGAGGATATGGAATTATCTGACCCCAGATCCGTCAAAGGCACTCCTGTATAGGGAGGATTTCTTAATTTTTAATGTTTTATTATGTTTTTATATATGTTGGAAGCTGCCCAGAGTGGCTGGGGCAACCCAGTAAGATGTGTAGGATATAAACAGTAAAATTATGATTATGGAATGTGATGTCCCTATTTTCATCGGAGAAATGTTGGAGGGTGTGATCTTGTAGCCTTGGAAGTAGCCACGAGATTCCAGTTTGGACTTGGGCCACAGGTTCATCTGTTCCCCTCTTAATGGGATTAAAGCATGAAGAATTTGCTTTCAGTTCATTTATATCTTCACACCTTCTGGGTCTCTGGTAGGCAAGCAAAAGACATCCAGGTTCTTTTTGTGGGGCATTTTCCTGCTGTTCACAGGAACTCTTGCACATTGATAAAGCTTTGCATCAAATGGATCTTGATACAGCTATGGGTACAATCACATAAAAAAAAATCCCTCCTCTGCAGCATTTGATCAAGGCACTTATGATCTGATGCAGTTGAAAGAGCAACGCACAGTTCAGCTGCGGAACTCACTGCCACAAGGGCCACCAACATGGAAGACTTTAAAAGAGAATTGGACAAAATCACAAAGGAGATGGCTATTGATGGCTACTACCCCTGATGGCTATCCTCCG